GAAAGAAAGGGAGGAAGGAAGGAAGGAAGGAAGGAAGGGAGAAAGAGAGAGACAGAAATAAAGAGAGAAAGAAAGAAAGAGGGAAGGAAGAAAGAGGGAAGGAAGGAAGAAAGAAAGGAAGGAAAGAAAGAGAGAGGCAGGAAGGAGGAATGGGAAGGGGAGCAGAGGGGATGGGGATAGGAGAAGAGAAGAGAAAAGAAGGGAAAAGAGGGAAAGAAAGAAGGAGGAATAAGAAAAAGAAATATAGTAGGTCACATACTTATTAAAAGAAGGAATGGATCAAGGAAATTAAATCTTAAGAGTTTCTTGGAATTTTCCACAAAGGGATCCTGTGGGTTGTTGAGGGAATCAACGTTCACTCCAAATGCTGTGCTGGTAATCACATCCATGCTGTAGGCCCCAAAGATGCTGAGTAGAGAAAGGAAGACATGAACAATTAAAATCAACACCTCTTTACTGTCCCTACCCAACACATGCAAAAAGAATGTATGTAAATTCAGGTGCCCAAGACAGGTAAAGAGCCACACTCTTTCAGAACTACCTGCTGGATCTTCAAAAGAATCTATGCTACCATCACACTCACTCATGAGGTGTTTATGAGGTGCCAGTGATGATGCAGATGGCCCTGTGCTAGGGGTGATGGGGACACTGAGGCAAATTAGACTGCCACCCCCCCCACTGCTCTTGGCTCAAGTAGCTCAGACATAGAGGGATACAGATCCATAATCAGACAAATTACAGTAGTGTGTTTTGTTTTGACTATGGGCAGTAGTAGGTGTATAAGCACTGTGTCTGAGGAGAACAAAGAATGGAATAATTAACTCTTCCTGGAGGAGTCCAGAAAGGTGACATTGATCTGCATCCTCCCTCACCACAGTACTCGTGCACAGAGTTGATTCCTCTTTAGCACGTTACAGAACAGCAGCACCCTGGTCTTTTTTTTTAACCAATGAAAATTATTTAACCAGCAACACCAAATTAATCACGGCCCTCTCACCTTTAGACCTATTCTTTTTTTTCTGTTGAAGTGTAATTGATTTACAATGTTGTGCTAGTTTCAGATGTACAGAAAAGTGATTTTAAATTCCTATAGATTATACTTCATTTAAAGTTAGTGTTTAATATTGGCTCTAATTCCTGTTCTGTACCATCTATCCTTGTAGCATAATTATTTTACACACTGTAATTGCACATCTTAATCTCCAACCCCTATCTTGACCCTGCCCCTTTCATCTCCCAACTGGTAACCACTATTGTTCTCTATATCTGTGAGTCTATTTCTGTTTTGTTATATTCATTCATTTGTTCTCTTCTTTAGATTCCACATTTAAGTGATAACATACAGTATTTGTCTTTATCTGACTTACTTCACTTAGTATAATGCCCTCTAGGTCCACCCATGTTGTTGTAAATGGCATGTTTTCATTCTTTTCTATGGCTGAGTAATATTCCACTGTGTGTATACACACACACACACACACACACACACACACACACACACACACATATACTATATC